CACTATGATACCATGCGGGGAAGGAGGAAATGTTTGTTTAAAACATGAACACTAAAAAAAAATCCTTTCCATTCAATTGTCAACATTTGCTTCTAGTCCTAGATGTTTGTTTGTAGTTTTAATATTATAAGTCACCTTGAGCTCTGTAAGAAAGGAGGGCAGCTAATAAATATTTTAAATAAGTGAATAAAACAAATAGATGTCAGGTGAATTTAGAGGGCAGCCATCTGATTGGTACAGGAGGAATTGCAACCAGGAGTGGCTTTCATGGTGGAAAGTTTTCCAAATAAGAACAAAATGAAGGAAAAGGGTTAGAGATGAGATGTCAGCTTCAAAAGTAAAATTAATTTTGCTGCAAGCAGAAGACCACTCTCAGAACTCTCAGAGCCACCTGTACCTGACTGAATTTTCCACTGACCCAGGCAGCATTTTTCCTAGATGTTTCCTCTTCTTGGTAGTCTCATTTTTGTCCTACTATGCCTAAAAATTAGATCATGTAAAGCAGCCTCTTCTTCTGCCCCATTTACTTCCTTTGTCCTGAAAATACCTTCTATAACGATAACCAGACTAAGTTGGATGAAAACTTTTCTGAGACTTTGCCAGAACATGTAGGCTAGTCACAGGTCAAATGGTAGAGACTAAGACAAAAAAAACAGAGGCTGAAGGGTCATGGACATAGCGCACCTTTACCAGCAACGCCACTGAAACTAAGTAGGTTTGAATCTGGTCAGTGTTTGGATGGAAAATCTCCTTGAAACCATAAGCAGATCACCTTCATTATCAGGAAGGAAGAAGTATGGGATATAAAATGTAGTAGAATATGTGAGGCTTAACTTTTGTATGCTCCAGAAAAGAATGACAACTAGCAGTAGCAAACCAGAACACTGGTACCAAAACTATGGAACTCTCTCCCCAGAGAGATTCGTTTGTCCCCTGAGAGCCAGTTTGTTGTAGTGGTTAAGTGTGTGGACTCTAATCTGGGAGAACTGGGTTTGATTCCCCACGCCTCCACTTGCACCTGCTGGATGACCTTGGGCAAGCCATAGTTCTCTCAGAGCTCTCTCAGCCCCATCTACCTCACAGGCAGTGTTCCCTCTAAGCTGAGTTAGTGTGAGCTAGCTCACAGTTTTTAGCCTCCAGTTCACACTAATTTATGCAGTAGCCAAATCACTCGCTCACAACTTTAATGCCAGTAGCTCACAAAGAAGAATTTTTGCTCACAAGACTCCACAGCTTAGAGGGAGCATTGCTCACAGGGTGTCTGTTGTGAGGAGGGGAAGGGAAAGGAGTTTGTAAGCCGCTCTGAGACTCTGAGTGAAGGGTGGGGCATAAATCAAATCTCTTCTTCTTTTATTGCCTTTTTGTTTGGCATTCCTTCAATAATCCCTCTTTTTGGAATTATTGTTTTGTGTTTGTATGTATTGTTTTTTTGCCTTTGTATTTATTTTAGCTTTTTTAATAAGTGCATGTGTTTGTTGTTGGCTTTAATTATTTTTAAGATGTGATTTTATTATGCACATTGTAATTTGTTAGCTGCTTTGGTGGCCCTCGTGAGGGCAGAACGGTGGGATATAAATTTTGTAACAACAACACGTTTCAAGGATCAGAATGACAAGACACCTGTTACCCCGCTACCATTAATTCATTGCTTTGCATTCTTACCTTTTGTTGTTGTCAATTTTAACATATGAAAGTGTCATCTTATCCTTTACGAAGGTACAGTAGTTCAATGGACATTTTCTCCAAACAGCCTTCACTTCAAAAACTACTCCCATTTTTCTTTCCTATGAGAGTTAGGTCCATAGCTTAGTACAATGGAGGAGGAGGAGGAGATTGGATTTATACCCCATCCTTCACTACCTGAAGGAGTTCATTGATTCCCCACTCCTCCACATGCAGCTGCTGGTGTGACCTTGGGTGAGTTCTTTCAGAGCTGTTCTCTCAAGAGCTCTCTCAGCCCCACCTACCTCACAGGGTGTCTGTTGTGGGGAGGGTAAGGGAAAGGAGATTGTAAGCTGCTTTGAGACTCCTTTGGGTAGTGAAAGGTGGGGTATAAATCCCCTCCTCCTCCTTCTTAATCTAAGGTTCCAGAAGACTCCAGTCAATTCTTAGTATCTCAAGATTTAACTAAACATACAGTACAACACACTTCAGTTCAAGTCCACTGGGTTGCATTTAGTTTGATGGGTCACAAGTTGTACATTGTTGGCATGGAAGATCTTTCCCATCTTTTAATTCCTTTTCCTATTAATAATTTAAAATTTCTTAAATTCCCAAACTTTTATCATTGCACAGTAAATGGTTATTGGGTAGGTTCGGCACTTTCATCAGTGATGGATAGCTATGTGAGAAGAATTACCTTTATTTTTTAAAACATACCATATGAAGAAGGTAGCTGTAGCTGGTGAGTACTAAGTCTCCCGCAAATATGGTCAGCCCTTAAATATTCACTTGACAATGATATCGCTACTAAAATTTCAGAGCACTACAGAATTTGACCTACATGGTAGGAATGTCAGTTGACTCACACATCCTGTTGTTTCAAAGAAGTGAAGTGAAAGGCAATCACATGAAATCAGATTAGAGGCTGAGAACATACAGCTTTGTTTCAATCCTTGTTCTTTTTCCAGAAGTTGAAAGTGCTGCAAAAGGTTGTGTCTTTTTCAGCTTCCCAGTTTTAGAGGGGGAAAAAGACAATGCTGTCTTTCAGATTAAAACTAAAGATTTAGTCTCTTGGGTAGCTGGGCAATTCTTTGTTCAATTTTTCCTGTCCTCGGAATAAAATTTCATATACAAGCATTAGGAAAAAGGCATGCTTTTCTCAGCATAAAGGGCATATTAACACAGTGCATTTTCCTGTACATGAATGTTATGATATCCAAGCGCATATAATTTGCATACATTTACATATGCACATAGTGGCGGTGGAAAGTGCTGTCAAGTCACAGCTGACTTATGGCAACCCCGTGGCGTTTTCAAGGCAAGAGACATTCAGAGGTGGTTTGCCATTGCCTGCCTCCATGTTGTGACCCTGGCATTCCTTGGAGGTCTCCCATCCGAATACTAGCCAGGGCTGACCCTGCTTAGCTTCCGACATCTGACAAAATTGAGCTAGCCTGGGCTATTCATGTCAGGGCATATGCGCATGACATAGCTGGTATTCATTTTCATGATCTCTGTAGGTTGAATACGTCTTACACAAATGGTATTCTGAGTGCACCATAAGAATAGTCAGTGGAGTCAGACCAGGTCCATAAAGCTCAGCATCCTATCTCCAGGCAACAGCTAGATAAGGGTCTTCAGATGGGGTGGGATGGGGATATTTATTTCCGGTTATCAGCAGCATCTCATCTCAAACCATGACACAGTGTTTCATAACATGGAGGATACATTTTGGCTATTAAGAGAATGACAGACCTACATTTACCTAAAACGAAGCCTTTACTGTGGCAAACAAAGAGTGTGACCCAAGTTATATCTGCTCATTAAAACCAACCTAACCTAATGCAACTGGAAATGCTAAGGCTGAGGACTGTGGTATTATATTGGCGTTCAAGGCCAAAACTACAGCAACAGTAAGGGATGGAAGAAGGGGTTTGTGGGTCACAATGGAGCTAGTACAATGGGAAGGAGGAACAACTGGCATGATTTTAGAGGGGTTAGGATATGTTTTGGAATAAATTGCTCGCAAATGGTTCATGACCATAAGGGCATGACAGTCAATGATACCAAAGAATGGAATTTACATTTAAGGTGATTGCCAATGCTTTATTTTACAGTGCACTATTCTCAAGTAAACCATGTCCATTTTGGAGCTCACAAGTTAAAATACATCACTGGTTACTATAAATGAAATAACTTTCCTGAAGCAATGGTAGTATGCCAGAACAAACCTCTCAATTATGAAGAAATAAAATTGGAGAACAGACACTGGGAACAAAAGTACTAAAGACATCCTCCAAATACTTTACACAATTAGAAGTTCCACTGGTGGTGGCTTTAAAGGAATCTTTCCTAGTGTAAATTTCTTTGCTTCAAATTGCTTCAGTTCATCTGCAGATAGTTCATTCTTTGGAGTAAATAACTTTTCAGAAGCGATGTTGGTTTGGGTTACTGATGATGCAAATGCCCCACTACTCCCAAAAGCATTTGTGGGCTGTCCAAACAGGGCGTTCCTCGAATCCAAAGTTGGGGCAGCAACAGCTGAACTGCTAGCACCAAACACTGGAGCAGACGTGTTATTTGAAGAACTTGTAGGAAGTGAATGTCCAAATCCTGAAAATCCAGAAGTTCCAAAGCTACCAGAAGTTGCAGAACTTTTAAATGAAAAGGAAGCCGCAGATGAAGCAGTTTGGTACCCAAAGCCAACTGAATGGGTAGTAGCAGTAGATGAAGATGTTGCACCCACTGTTGGATGATTCGGAACACCAGGAAGGCTCCCAAATGTAGGCAGGCTTCCAGATGAGACGTTAGCCAGCTCCGAAGGTGATTTGAAAGAAAAGGTTTTAGCACTGCTTTGTTTATTCACAGGAAAGGCTGCAATAGTAGTACACAGAACAGCATTTATTAAAGGTATGTTTACCACATTAAGACTGAAGAGAGACCAGTTGAAAAATATAGGCAGGACTGATTACTTGAGTTTAGCATAAAATACTTACTTGATGTCCCAAAAGCTGATGGCTGCTGTCCCCCAAAAGCTGACGGCTGCTGTCCCCCGAAAGCTGACGGCTGCTGTCCCCCAAACCCAAATGCAGGTGGTGGTTGACTAGCCACATTCTTGAGTTCAGATATCTTAAAACAAAAAGGAAATAAAAAGCTCTCATCTCCTTGAAAACACAGGTTCTACAGCATATGGTTTAATGTTGTGCAATGTAACAAGATATAAACCAATGTCTGTTCAACAGAAGAATACTACTGAAATTACAAAGGGGTAACGGTGGTAATCTGTTGCAGCAAAATGTGACAGGATTCCAGCATTACCTCAGACTAACAAAACCTATTTCCACATCTGACAAAGTGAGTTCTGACTCACAACAGCTTGTGCCAAAATAAATGTTGTTAATCTTTGTGGTGCCACTCGATTCTGGTTTAACTGAAATCACCGTCACCCTCTCAATATTTATTTTGCCATCATAGGATGCCATCCATGCACTAGACAGATCATAGGGAACTCACATGGTCTCTACTCAAAAATGTTCATTAGACCAGTGCTTGTTAACCCATTCATCAGGACCCCACCTGCTGGATCTCAAGCCCCATCAGACGTGAGATGCTCTTGCTGCTTTGTGGAAGCACCTGCTGCTAGTGTGCAAGTGCAGACAACAAGGGTGCAGTTCCACCTCCACCCTTTGCACCCACAATGAGAGGAGCAGCTGGACAGTGAGCTGAGGACACACCACAGTACAGATGAGTTCTTGTCAGCGCCGGCAGATTCAGAGACACCCCTCTTTAAAAAAGCTCTCTTGCCTCTCTTTCCCCAGCCTTCCTTTGGCTAGCTCGTTCTCCAGTGCACCGCATGTATCTACAGCATGAACCCCACCATGAGTTCCTAATGCTGACTTTTCTTCTTTCTGTCATGTGGGTCAGAGTATGTGACTTCCTGTCATGAGGCCCAGCCCACAATGGGTCTCATATTGCTACCTGAGTGTTAGAGGTTCGCCCGAGGCTGGAAAAGCTGAAAACCACTGTAGCAGATCAACAAGAAAGTGATGGAGGGACGAGGAACAATGATAAGAGAACAGAAGAGTCTGGTATCAGCAGAGGTGAGCCACTGTGGTTCCAGCAATACTTTACTAAAGAAGTGGAATTTGAGGATATAAAGAATATAATATCAAGAAGTGATATAAAGAAGTGATTCAGGAAACAGAAACAGGGAAGGAAGTAGCTCTGAGTCTTGGAGGCAACATGACAGAAGGCAAGAAAACAAAGGCAGGCACAACAGAGGGCCAGCTCCAATTGAGCCACTGCAAAGTAGAGACACAGAGAAGGAGAACTAAGGCAGATCAGAGAGCAGCTATATTTGGATGCAAAAAGGTGGAACACTGTAGGATCTCCTGGCTCAGTTGGCTACTTCTAAGAAGCAAGGGCAACCATAACAGATTACGGGCATGATTTATAAAGGCTATTCTGCTAGTTTATTAAGTGGATAATAATGGACCAGTAATTTATTTATTTAACAAACAAATAATTCAGCGATGGCCAACTTGCTCCAATCAGTGGGAAGGATGGGGGGATGACGACTGACCAAACCATTCCCTGACGAAGCTGCTTAGAGGACAAAGAACAGCCACGGCCATGGTTCCTGCTATTGCTTCCCACTAGCACAATGAGGTGGAGGGCATAAAATTTCTTTTTCAGCAAGGAACTTGTCAGGCCAAAGACAATCCAAGGGGTTCTGCTTCACACCTAGTCAGTATCAAGAAAGTGGCCTTGTTTAGCTGTTTTTTTGGACTTTCAAAAGTTTTGCCAGGCTTTTGGACCTAATCAAGTTATTGAAAGCTGCACTCTGGGAAATTAATGTCCCTCTAACTTGCAGTTTCCAGTGAGATAAGGAATGAGATGGAGTCAGGCAGAGGTGCAAGTGAAATAATGGGTCTGGGGGCTTCAAGGCCAGAGACCAGGAGGGAGTTTCACACTCACATTCCATCTCATTAGCACAAGGAACCCTGGGCATGAGAAAAGTTGCTTGATTGTGAATACATGTCAGTTGGAGAGGTATGTGGTCACATGCCCTAGCAACACACTTGACTGGCCAAAGAGTCTGGTATCAAGCAAGACCATTCATTCTAGTTTGGTGCTTCTAGTCCTCCTTTAGACCGTAGGTTGGGCCTTGTGCTGCTGGAACACCTGCTTCTTGGATTTTGGAGTTCTATCTGGACTTTATACCTTCAGTCTGACCAGGTAACATCTGGGTCAGAGGACTAAAGTATAAGTAAGTATTCTAGGTTAGCTATTTAATTTTATTATTTTCTTCCCTGTTTTCCTGCTTCTATATTTATCTGCATACTTTAGCACATTAGTTTTAATAAACCTTATTGATTACACTCCTGTGGTGCTATCTGGGTTTTGGGACATCAATCTAAACCCAGCAGCTCAACCTATTTTGGCCAAAGTAATTGTTTGTGGAATTCAACCCGCAAGTGGAATTCAACCTTGCAGGGCTGATTTCTTGATTAACACCCGGTCCCGCTGGAGGCCTACTCCTTCAGTCTCACAGCTGAGGGTTAGCTTAGAGAGGCTGATGGTGGTTTGTTACCCTGGGCAGTGAGGATTCATTCCCCATTTTTGTGCGTTTTGCTCTTCACCTTCACCTTAAAGCCTTCTTGTGGGACAAGGAGGCTTTGACAGTCAGCACCCCCTACAAACGCTGGGGCACACGCAGATACCACCCCCACCGAACTGCAGCTTTTGCCCTGGCTGCCTAACATCAGAACAAGACCTGTGCCTGGTTATCACTGCTCTAATCCAGTGGTACTCCTTCCACAGCTCACAGAGAGCCAATCAAAAGAGCCGCATTCACTTCCATTCCTGGCATGGAGCCTGCACTTTAGGGAGCCTTGTAGCTTATTTATTCCCCAATAGCAGCTGTTTCAAGGTAGGGACCACTTGCCAGCTACAAGCCTTCCACCAGACAAAGACCTTTTGCCCATTTTCCTGAAGCATGGGGCAAGTGCTCTACTGAGGAGCTGTGCTCAGAAGAGCCACAGGCGGTCTATGTCAAAGAGCCACATATGGCTCTTAAGCCTCTGAGTGAGTATCTCTGCTCTAGTTTCTCCTTCCTTTTTCCTCCACAAAGAGGTCATGCCAGAACCCCAGAATGAACATGTGTAATTCAAGCAAATAATTTTCTGTAACTCACCAATGCAGTTTTAGTAGAAGCATTTATATTCTTCAGCTCAAGTAGTCTGCTTCTCCACTGAGTGACTAACTGCTGGACTGAGTTGACCTGGAAAAAAAGGAGGGGGATTAGAACTTGGTAGATCTCTACCAATCAAGCTTAAAATGAACAGAGTTTCTGAACACCTGTGATTCAAATGTGTGGATACTTTCTTAATAAAGGAACTTAATTACTTTCCCACAATTCAAACACATCTTTCTGAAAAACCTTTCCCATCTGATAGCTATCTACCCCAAACAATATGTAGAGACTTACATAATTTTGAATATTACTATTGGCACTGCAGTTATAGTATTCAAGACGTAGCTCTTCAGGAGAAAAGGCTGGAAAACCTGCAAGAAAACAATCAGAACTGAGAGACAGACTACTGCTTCTAGCCCCAGCTATGAAATAACAGTAAACGTATCTGTCTGTAACACCTAACGAGTCAGATTTATTGCAGACAAACAAAGTAATTGGCCTATGAAAACTCAAAACTGCAAACTATAACAGAATCCTCTATATTTCTCTTTGTTACTTAAAGTTTACTTAAAGTTGTTTTGGGAAGCGTACTGTTTTACTTCAGGGATGTAAGCTTGTGAGCTTGCAAATTCATCACCGCTCCACTGATGGCTGAACTAGATGTTTTTTCACTAGATGTGCGATTTCAGCTTCATGTTTGCCAGTGTTGTGTAGTGGCAAAGAGTGCCAGACTAGTATTTGGAAGACCAAGCTTTGAATCTCCACTTGTATCATATTAGCTCGCTGGGTAATCTCGGGGCAGTCACACAGTCTCAGCCTAACCTACTTCACAGGGCTGCTGAGAGGATAACACAGAGGAGAGAATGATGTGAGCCATTTCGGGTACCACTGGGGAGAAAGGTGGGGTATAAATAAATAAATGGAATACCAGACCTGGGGCCTATTTGGACAGCGTTCAATCCCTCCTGTAACTGCTGCTTCTCTCCTGTAAATAACCCTTGAAAACTGCCCCCCCCTTTTACCCTGAGGTTGGGGACACTTGTAAGGGGAAATCAGCACGGGAGGGAAAAGATACAAACCTCCAGTAAGTTTTTAATCCCTTCCCCTCCTTGGAAATGCACCCCCCACCCATCTGTACAGTAGGCATTATAAAGGAAAACTGTACTCAGGATCCCTGTGTTTCAGTGTGTCCCTCAGCACTGCAACAACAGCAGATTAGGCCTGGCTAAACTGCCACAAGTAGGCCAGATCAGCAAGAAAAGCTTGTAAGGCTCTACAAAGCACCCAGTTGCTGTGCACCTGATAAAGATGTTAGATCCAAGGATAATTCCATATACATGCAGTTATATCCACAGCTATACTGAACAAGAATCTTAGAAGCACAGTCCACAGTAAACACTCATTAAAAAAGAGAACCCTTATGTGTATTTGCGTACTACACATTTTACTATTTAATGTCCATAAGGTGAGAAAGAAGGCTAAACAGTTGGGGGGAAATTAAAATACAGAATCAACACTAGGGAAAGTTTTACCTGAAATATTTGGCTTGTCTTTCGATGGTGAATAGGAGGAAAACATCCACTGGCCTGAAGATTCCCAAACCTCCATGTCTTTCATTATAATTTCACTAGATAATTAGTATCAAAAAGTTATAAACCAAACTAATTTGGAGATTAGCAAAGCAAAAAACCAATTTAAAGCTAGATTAAAAACACACACTGGCAGGTCAAAAGCCTGCTGAAAGGGATATGAAGGAAAAATAAGTTAAAGAGTTAGCATTGCAAGTTGTTTTAGAAACAGAAACAGAAAAAAACAAGCAACTGGAGAGTGCAAAATCGAACCAAAACACAAAATACTTGGATATGTAAATGTTTACTTGTAGAATAACTTTTCTTCAAGTTTTACAGCACTTTGGTACTTCTGTAGTCACTCTGTTATGCAAAGGAACACAGATGCAGATCCAGTCCCCACCGAATTTGATAGATGTGGCTTACGCAAAAGGGGCTTCTTCCAAGCTCATAGAAAATCTCCTGATATCTATATCATGGCCTCATTATGCAGATTTTTTATTCACGCTTTGTGGCCATTGTACAGAATTAAACATATTGACTTCCAGAGATTCTGAATCTTGTTGGTTTGCAGCACTGGAATGCTAATCTGACATTAAACAGCAGCACATCTATCGTAAATGCTGGAAGAAAGTCCCAGTGATCAAAAACCCACTTAACACTATAAAGATTATACTGGCAGAAGGGCATTAGGAGGAATACAAAAGGGGGACAGATGGGTCTTACCACTTTTTGCTCACCTTCCCCTCCCCTCTGATTCCGCTTCCTTCCTTGTCCCCGATCTTGCTAGCTGCCCACTCATGCTTTGCCCTTCGAAACTCACTTCTGCGAGTTTCAAAATGTTCCTCACCTACCTCCAAGAATGTCAAAATGAAACTGAGATCTCCTTAGATCTTAACACCATTTTAGATTTACTAGACAGGCATGGACAACTCTGACAATGCTGTTTGTAGTTGTCAAAAAAGTCTTCAGAAACCTTGGCACTTTTTTGGTTTTATTTCACCCCTCTCTTTTTAAAAATTAAGATTATTGTACAAACCTAGAGCTTCCTCCAGGTTTACAGAAACACCTACCCAAGCCCTGGTTGACCCCAGTGAGAGAATTCTTTGATCTGCACAGTAGGACCAACATGGGAATTAAATATATGATGTTATAAAGCACCATCCTATTATGCTGCATAATTCCTATTTATCGAAATAGATTTTAAGAAGTCTAACTGCATGTAGGTATTCACAGGTATTAAGAATGCAAGGGTTCTTTCCTTCTTTCTTTCTCAACACAAACTCAAAAGATAAATCACTGCAACTTACAGAAGCTTCTCATCCTCATTTTTAATGCCATCGCTACTCCCATCTTCATTAGAGTTTAACGCACCGAACCTATTTTGAGAATAGCCCAAGTCAGCCTGGGGCCCATGGAATGCTCTCCCATGATCTCTGTTACTGTGCCAGTTTGATGCTTTAGAAAAACTGGATGCCTGGACAATAGGGTATCTCTGATTATGACCATCCCATCCGCCTCTTCTGCTGGAGCCTTAAATCGGAAGAAAAGAAAAAAGGCATTCATCTTCAGTGAAATAGAGCAAGTTTAACCTTTCGAGAAAAAAAGTTAGAACATACACAATCTGCTCAATATCTGTAAAAGAATGGCTGAAAGGTTATAAACAAAAAAAGAACATACACTGAACATACATCAAAAGACATTCATCTTCAGTGAAATAGAGGAAGTTTAACCTTTCAAGAAAAAAAGTTAGAACATACACAACCTGCTCAATATCTGTAAAAGAATGGCTGAGAGGTTATAAACAAAAAAGAACATACACTGAACATACATCACTGCCTGACATGGAATGGTTCTAAGGCTGAAGGTTCGAAAGGCTTATTTAAATTATTTATAGCCCACCTTTCTCACTGGGACTCAAGGTGGATTACACAGAGCAAATCAATAAATCAACAGAATGGAACATCCAATAAACCGTGCAATATGATTTGTATTGTAGAAATCAGCAATCAGCCAGAAACCTACCTAAACCACAGCTGCTGCAAAGCGTATCAACATGACACATTAAATGATGTTAAAATTTTTAGTAGGATCCTATTTTCAGCAACAGATAGTTCTGTCCATAGTCCCTGACTCTTTACCGAAGCTTCTTTCTGAACCCTTTTGTTAACACTACAGGTCTATTACCTGTGTTTAAAAGCCCTCTTGAATAATTCAGTTCCACATAGTTTGCAGAAGGGTTGCAACTGGAAGAAAGTCTCACTGAAACTAGTGAATCTTACTACCAAACAAAATGGTGCTACACCATCGGTTTTTTAAGCAGTACTAGAAAATTAAGGGTTGAATCAGGAGCAGTATAATGCTCTGAAAGCTGATTTTATTATTGAGCCATTTCCACCCTGTATTCTGAAATGGGAAACCATACACCTATGGCAGTGATCTTGACTTTTTCAGACTAAAGATCTACCCCACGTGGAACCAGCAGAGCTACAAGAATGTGACATGAAGTCACTTGACATCAGAGCTCTATGACAGGAAGAGGAGTCAGAGTTATGACCTCATCAGTGGCAAGGTCAGGACTGGGGGCGGTAGCACATCAAGAAAGCCAGCAGCAGGAAACAGCTGAGCTCCAGGAGGTGCATCAAAGTGAGGCATAAGTTCAAGTGTCAGAGTTATGGAGGAATGCTCTCAATGGCTGAATGCCTTAGCCTTACAGAGGCATTTCTCAGCAGCAAAGTGGGGAAGGGGAGTGTAATGATTCCTTGTTTTATGAATGTGTGTGTGCCTTTAAATGCTTGGTTGGAGTGCATGGTTAGTAGACTACAGTGACTGAGAGAGACAGATGTGCTGTGATTGGTGTATGACAGAGTGTGGGAGGGGTTTTTGAAGTGAATCTGTGTGGGTGTGTCAGTAAGTCAGTTATGAGAGACAGTTAGAAATCAGTTGGAATTGTTCAGTTAGAGAGTTAAGTCAGTGAGTGTTCAGTTAGTTCTGAGTGAGTTCTTAAAGAGTGCAGTATATATGTCCTTAGCCTATGTGGCTGACTGTCCTTAGCCTGTGTGGCTGACAATAGCAAAGAGTGACTCCTGTTAATGTTGGAACTGAGTGTCAAAACAAACAAAAAGTAAAGGAAAAAAAGACAGTGTGTGTGATACATTTGATAGATATATTTTCAAGTCCCTTTATCCAAGTTAGTTACAGAATAGTAAAGGTAAAGGTTCCCTTGCTCGAAAGCCAGTCGAATCCGACTCTAGGGTTGCGGTGCTCATCTCTGTTTCAAAGCCAAAGAGCCAGCGCTGTCCGAAGACGTTTCTGTGGTCATGTGGCCGGCATGACTAAAGACCAAGGCGCACGGAACGCTGTTACCTTCCCACCGAAGTGGTACCTATTTATCTACTTGCAATTTCTTGCTTTCAAACTGCTAGGTTGGCAGGAGCGGGAACTAGAGACGGGAGCTCACTCCGTCATGCGGCAACTCGGGTCTCGAACTGCTGAACTACTTGACCTTCCACAGCCTGCAGTTCAGCATCTTAACCACTTGAGCCACCGCAGCTCCTTAGTTACAGAATAACCAACGTCATATTTTGTTCTTATTTCAATAAATCATCTTTTGTTCAAGTTTATCCCCGAATTTAGTTCTATCTTTCCTCAGGACCACATAGATCCCTGAAAAGGCCCGACTCTAGGTCACCTTACCAGCAAAAGAAACAGAGAGAAGGTTTGGAAATCCTTAAATTCCTGGTGGCAGCAGAAACTACCCCGTTTACAAAAGCAAAGAGCACATTTAAAGGGAAAACCAGTCCTCCCTAAAGAGGACGCCACAGGGAGGCTCTCCAAGACTCCACAGGTTGAAAATCCACGAATCTAAGAAAATTCAACACAACTACGATTACCTTCACTGATACCGAAAGCATTGTTTGTGTAAAAGGAATGTTGCCCATTATAGAAAAAGAGAAAGAACAACAGATATAAACAGGTAACCCTACCACAGCCAGGTGCACCAGCATTTATACCATTTTACTACCTGGTGTGTTAAGTATAAACAGAGCATACCATTCAGTCCAAATACATGTTTTTATTATACATAAGCAAACTACAGAACAACAGACTACTTCTCAGGTAATCCCAAAGATATCACTGGAAGCCAACCTGACATAATGAGCCCTACTTGTAGGGAAGGGCCACCTAGTAAATCTAATTTAATAAATAAAACTAAATTGTGTATGCACTTATCCCACTCCTCAACCAAAACTGGCTCACAAGACAGTTCATGCAGCAAACCGACCCAATACAACTGAGATTAAAATGCAGTAAACAATTATTTAGGGAGGGAAGTGTCAGATTCATTGAATCCATGCATTAAACCATGCCTTAGAGATGGGACTCTCACTGAACTGGATCTGTAGGGAGGGGATTCCCGGCTGAGTCGGATCCAGGCACGATTCCGGGGTGCCGGGCCATTCGGCTGAACAGCCTAGTACCTTAGCCACACGGGGGAGACAGTGGCTGCTTCCTTCCCTTCCTCCTGAAGATCACTCACGGCCACAGGTGGTGCAGCCGGAACCAGGACTGCCGGCCACACGGGAAACCGGGAACGGAGGGCCAGAAAACCGCCCACCCTGAACCAAGCACGCGACAACCGAGAGCCGCTTGAGATGCTTCCCTCCCCTGCCACCCCCAGCGCATTACCGGAGCTCAGAGAAGGCTGGCTGGATCCTCCGCCGTGGCGCGGATGCAGGTACCAGCATCTTTCGCCGAAGCGGCAGTTGCCCTGCAAATAGTAGTGGCAAATCTTGCCGCCGGAGGCCATGGCTAGCCTGCAAGGAACAGCATAAAAACGGCCCCCGCTGAAGCATCAACAACAGCACGAAGAGTTGGAGAAAACTGCCCCGCAGCCAATCAGTGGATTTTTAGTGAGCCAGTTCTTGCGGGGGAGGAAGTCATGTCGATGACGCACCAACAGCAGCGGCTCAAAGAAAAGAACGGGCAGTTAACATCAAGGGGCTACAGATTTCCCGGTTCTCTGATATGACTTCCGGTATCCGTTTGCTGCTGCTGGTGAAGTCCCGTACAAGGAAAGAGGTGGAGCTTGACGTTTACTATGATGACAGTATCTCATGTGAAGGGGCGTTGGAGGTATCCCGCTTTCAGTGTTCAGTGCACACACACACACTCCTTAAAACTAAGCAGGTCGACGTAGAAGCTGGTCCTTTTATTAAGGTGCATTACCGGCATGCTGAACTCTCTCTCCTAGTTCACAAACTGCTATGAAGTTGACGGTGGCGTAACGACGCTGCAGTGCCTCCAAGCGTGATAAGCAAGTACAAGCCCTCAACGAGATATCAGGGCTGATTTTCTATCCCGCAGGGGCTCAGTTCAAAGTTCAAACCCAACCACTGCCTGAACAGTGGGTGCACGAGTAATCACAGAAGCAGGTCCCACTTAAAGAGCTGCTCTATCCAGATGCCTCCGCGTTATGACCCCGGCGGATCTCTGGTTACCCGGGCGGCCCTTCTTGTCAGATATTCCATTTTGCCCCTCAGAATCTCTGCCCACAGCTCAAGAATCCCAGTTGTCTGAGCGCCTACTCACCGTGGTTAAAGGATACAGAAAATGCCTCATGAGCCGTTTTGAGAGTTCCTTTCTTTCTGGGGTGCTCTAAGGATTCAAAAGTGTTGGAATGTACAAGGTCTATATAGTGAACCTACTTGAAGATCAGAACAGCCTATAGGGCAGTGGTGGCGAACCTATGGCACGGGTGCCAGAGGTGGCACTCAGAGCCCTCTCTGTGGGCACGTGTGCCAACACCCCAGCCAGGCCCAGACCATCATTAAAGTGCGGAATTCTCTGCCAAATAATTTTAAGTAAATGAAAGCATTTGGGATTGCTTTCCTTACTTTGTTTGGATCATCTTAAGTTAATGTATGAGTTGCTTTTTCTAAAGTAAAACCTCAGTATTCAGGTTAAATTGCCGTGTTCGCACTTTGCGATAAATAAGTGGGTTTTGGGTCGCAGTTTGGGCACTCGGTCTCTAAAAGGTTCGCCATCACTGCTATAGGGGGACAGTTGAAGGATTGCTAGTTAGCAGCTAGATTAATCCTTCCTGTCTCCTGACTGGCTCTTTGGAGACTTCCTGCTCCAACTGAACCCTCCCTGTCATTCCTATCTCTCACAGCAGTCAATCAGTTAAGCCTGTCTGCCTCTCCTCTGTTCTATCAAAGTTTATTTCTTCTTTAATAAACCTAGTTATTTTCTTTGAACAGTTGGTGCTCCGTTCCTCTGCATGTTTAAGCTCTGCCAAAAACAAAACAAAAAAACCCTTGCTGGCCCCAGGGGCAACCATGGACACTCTTCAGTTCCAGCAGGAGGGGCCGGGAGGAGGAATAGCCGTTAGGAAACACACAGAGGACTGGCTTCAGGAAGCTGACCCTAATCAGGTCTCTGCTTAATGGAGTCCAGAACAGGAGAACAATAATGGACATATTCCTGAAAGCACCCTTCTTGAATTAAAGGCAAAGCACGACAAGAGGTTGCAGCCCTGAATAAGGTGAGCATGGTGAGGAGGCAGACTGTGGCAGAGATGCCACTGACAAAAAGTGTTCCAGGGTGAGAGGACTAACCCATTGTACATCAGTGCTGTGTTCCATCCACCCTGCATCTCAGCTCATACTCCCTTCTCTGTTTAGTGAGCCCAGTGGCTGGAACAGGATATTTTCCTGTCTGGACACTCCCCCCACTAGCCCCAGCGCAGTGAGATAAAAAAGGCTTTAGCATTGAGACTGCTGTATGTGTGCATGTTCATGTCCTCTGGCAATAGCAAATACTTTGTTTTCTCATTTGAGTGCAGTTATTTGGGAAACTTTTATGCCACCTCTCCATAGTCCTGCTCATGACAGCTACTGTCAACAGAGCATGATCTTTGTGTAAACATCTTTATAAACCTGTCTCCAAGTATCAAAACTGCTTTTCTAAGCAAATGTATATATTTGAATCCTTTGTTTCTAGTGTGATGCTGGGCCGTTTCTAAAAGTACTAACCATATCCAAGTCCAGTAGCACCTTAAAGACCCACCAGATTTCCAAGGTATAAAGCTTTCAAGAGTCCAAGCTTCCTTTGTTAAAACAGAGCTTTGACTCCCAAAAGCTTGTTGTAATGATTCCATTTTTGGTGTTTGTGTTTCTTTAAATATTAAGTTTGACTGCAGTAAAGAGGGAGACAAGTGTGATGTGATTGGCTGATGACTGAGAGTGTGGGAGGAGAGATGTCTATGAAGTGATTTGGTGTTCATGTGTGTGAGTCTGTGTGACAGAGGAAGCAGTTGGAGCTTAGTTTAGCTGGTGTGGCTATGAGAAAGTTCAGCCTGTGTGGCTATATATATATATGAGAGAGAGAGATAAGCCTGTCAGAGTTTCATTTTGGTGTATGAGAGACTGTGTGAGACACCAAGCTTTGTCAGTTATATTTTCTTTCTTCAAAAACAGTTCAAACACACCCAGAAACCTATTTTGTTCTTTTATAAATAAATCAATATTTGTTTAAACTTATCCCAGCAATCAGAATAATCCTTCCTCAGGGCCACAAAGTCCTCTGAAGCACCCAGACCCTGGTTCATTCTACCAAAATAGAGAGTTGGAATTTTTAATTCCTGGTGGCAGCAAAAATCGACTAAGTTCATGTACACAGAGTGTGTTTTAAAGGAGAAACAGTCTCCCCAATAAGCAGGATGCCACACTTATACTGTGGAAATCTTTTGGGTCTTTAAGTTGCTATTGGACTTAAGTCTTGCTCTTCTACTGCAGACCAACAGAGCTACACACTTGGTCAAAACATTATGCATTGGAATGTAAGCTCACTACCATTACCAAAACCCTGCACAACTCTTCAGTCATTCTATAATGGAAATATGTTATCTACAATCTGTACAGCATTTTGTGGGAACAGAGATAGAAGTATGAATTAGGAGGACTGCCAAGAGCTAAATCTTGAGGGGAGGCTTGGGGATTTCAATAAGTGCCTCCATCTTTCCTCATGCTTTAAATGTTGCTATTTGAGTAAATTCAGAAGAGGAAGCACTGCTATTTCTTTTCTTATAATCTCTTGTTTATCAACATTATATCAGCTTTTCTACTTGCCTGGTTCCCCTTTTCCTTGCAGTCCTATCCCATTTGGCAGATTCATCCAAGTCCTACGACTCCCAAGTTCTCAGGGATCAAGAGGCTCCCTTGTTCTTGCATGAACAGAAATACTAATAATATTCCCTTCCAAAACAAGTCAGATTCATATAGAATGCCATCTATTTTATTCTCTTATGTCTTCCTCCTTCCCACATGCAGCTGCCCAACTACCTTTTTTTAAAAAAAGAACTCTAGCTTTCTATACCAACAGCCACTAAATGAAGCATGTGTGTATAAATAAAATTCTAGGGATGTTAAAAATATTTTAATACAGCATCTTGTCTCCACCTAGTTTTCTTCCCCCTGGAGAGGTAGACTGACAGAAAGGTATCCTCTAATAGTGAAAGCACAACAGGTTAAAGGCAAGAACATATTCAACATTTGGCTTAACTTGCTTCACACACACACCTGGCTCTTTAATTATTTTGAAGGCATGTCCAGAAAGCTTTCATGACCATGCTGCTGAAGTAATATTTTTATAAGCCACATGATAATATGAGCAGGCAGCACAGATGAGCCTTCATGAAAAAGAACTTTACTACAATACCCAATAGGCTTAGACTGGAATAACTCTGTTTAGGATTGCACTGTCACACTTATGTTTGTCTGAACTGAGCCATAATACTATGAATTAGAATCTCTGCTCCCTTAGGATGGTGCTTAGCACATTTAGAATTAACTCATGCACGTTAAGCAACCTTGAGCTTATGGTAATACTTTTGCCACTTCAGCTATGGAGCCGCTCAGGCTGAAGGACCTCTTGTCACAGTCAAAGGATATCAGTAGGCTGTCACTCCATATGCATGTGTAATACTACAGATGGCAAGAAAGAAAGCACAATTAGCTGAGTCCAGAGCCCACACAAACATTTTGCCACCCCAGCACTCTGCACTGCATATGATCCAAGAACTAGAACCTAGAGCATATCTTTTACATTGCTTTTTGGAATATTAAATGAATACTCAACAACAAGCATAAGAAAAACAAACATTTAATCAAAAGTTTACTGACCCACAAGCCTCACTGAGGTATTTGCTTCACTTCCAGAAAGTCTGCTAATACTGAACAAAAGTATTCAGAATGATCCATACATTTTTCAATACACAAAACAGTCCAAGAAAACTTTTTGCACAGTAGTTTTCATATTCTAAGAATCAACAATAAACCGTGATTTTACATATTAGCTACTAAGAACAATAAACCGTGATTTTACATATTAGCTAGATATGTAACATGGAGAAATGTTGAACCAAGGAAAATAATGAAAAATCTTTCATACTAGATTGCACATGTTTACATTAATTAAAGATGAAAAGGGTCTAAAAATTGAATCCCACCTGTAATGTGGCTTAACCTTTTAAAGGAAGATTGAAACTAGAAATCCTTTTACTATTTGCACGGGCATACAAAAAGATGAGCTTCACATTTCTTCATGTTGATTTTCTAGTTATTCCACTCTTGGTAAATTATTCAACTAGAAAAATGTGCTTCAGAATTGGTTTAATAATCCCACACTATCAAATTAAGAACAGTCCTTAAAAGGTAGGACTTCTGTGCCTCTATGCAGATACATACATAATTGTTTAGTAGATTTAAACTACTAATTACAGGATTTCTAAAAGACAGTAGTAAGAAGTACATAGAAGCAAATTTTAAACATCATAAACTGTTTTAACAAAGAAAGACGTGTGAGGGATGTCTTGAACTCCTAGTGGATTACAAATCTGAAGAAAAAAATTTGATGGATTGAGCAATATTTTATGCCCTCAAACATTTTTTATACATGGGAAAAGTTATCTACCTCCTCACATGCAAGCTTATATACTTTTTACTGTCCACATCATTGTCCAGGGTTTCTGAAAATTGCAGGTGCCACAGTACAGCAGGCATATAAGGAATGTGAATGAATTTTGATCCACACCAAGGCAAACAAGGAATTGTAAATAATGGACATGTAAATACAAGCTACTTCCTGGATTCCATTTTTATATACTCTGTTATAGCCAAGAAACTAAACCAGAACAGGGCTATGCAGATGAGGTAGGCTTGATCCACATTAGCTTTCTGCAAGAAAAAAGTGATGGACTGCAATTAATAATAATGATGTTGGGACAATTAACCCCTCCCAGAAACTGGGGTTGACAGGGACAGGTTTAGCCTGTACCCCAACTGCACATTTGTGTTCTCATATATAAATGCCATCTGTCTTCTACTGCATCTAGGAACTGAGAAGCAGATCCCCCACCCTCTTTTGGTTTTCCAAATGGAAATAATACCCCCCCATGAGGAAGTGGTAGGGAAGTGCACTGTGTGGTCTCATTGGTTCAACGCTTATTTTAGAGAAAAGGTGTTCATGGGGTGGGGAGCAGGGAAGCATACAACCCTCTACCACATGCATTTAATGGCAAACTTCTATTATGCACATAATTGACATGAGATGGTAGAAACACATGGAGTATATCGTTTACATAACTGGCATCCTGGTGTCAGTATGGGAATGTCTGGGAAGAAAACTATCTTCCTGTTGCTAGGTATGATTCCAATTGTGTGATAAAGCACTAAAAAGGAGTATATCCCATTTAGTTATCTGAGCCAGCTCAGTACAGTCACAAACCCTGTACGTAGTTAAAGTATTTTGTTCAACAGCTTTTTCAGTTGGATACTGGGATGCATACCTCTCATCTTGTGACGAAGCTGCATAGCAGTAATACAGCACTTTTTTCTGAAGAACAGCAATTTTGGGCAACTTCACAGCAGAAACATTTTGTTTCACCCACCTCTGCTATGTGAATAATCTCACCAGTTTAACTGTGAACAATAAAGGTTAAAACAATAAGAAGGAAGATTTCTTCAAATATTTGCCAATATATTTAGGCAGGGCTGGGTTTGTTTTTTTGGCAACTCAGCAGAAATGCATCTTTAAAAGGCTGTTTTAATGTGTCTTCATTCTAGATTGGCAAAAATACTTCCAGTCTTCAGATAGAAAATGGAAAAATAAAACTTGCTCAAGCACCTTCACATTATATACATAACGGCGATAAAATGGTATCTCGGCTTTTCCGCAGTATTCACTCTGACAAGACATAACTAAAAATGCAAAAGCATCATGGGTGGCAAATCAGTCATCCAAAAGTACCTTACAAGTTCATCAAAGTCTTCATGTTTCTAATGTCTCCTCATTTGCTCCACAAGTATCAACTACACAGATTAAACAGCTGGTCACTGGGAAAGCACGGACTTTGGAGTTAGCTATCCACTTATCCGTTTCAGTGTTATATTCAAGGATGTGTCCTAATCGACCTACACCCTGAAATCCAGCTAAGACATAGACGATTGAACCCACAGCAGCACATTTCACTGTTACACCTTTCCATGGCATGGGAGACACCATCTTCCACTCATTCATTTTAATGTCGTAATACTCTACATTGTCCAGGCCACCTAAAAAAACACAAAACTCAAATAAGTATTAACAGAGATTCTTAAACTTTATCACAGTTGAAAGTTTCCCCACATGTATCTGACAGAAAATAACACTCTTCGTGGTGGTGAATTAAGTTACAAGCTGTGAACAGAAATATAGGTGTATTTACATTTTCAACCATATGAAGAATTCTGCTTTTAACTACTGATTTGCATGTACTTCAGGGGAGGGGGCATCAGATGATATATAGATGGCCGTGGAGAAGCTTGAAAGGGCAACCATGTGTGGTTGTTTATTCAATTTTTTTAAAAAAATTGCCTTCGTTTTGTTTTTTGAATTTTTCACTCTTTTAAATTATGCAAATTAAGGTAAATGAATTCTATTTTTGAATTCCAAAAACTGTAATCAGGGTATCTCATAAATTTGTGTTAATTGATTGTTAATGTTATTCAAGTTTACTTTATTATGGAAAACAAGGGTAAGGGTATGTGCACTATCAGCTGTGTTTGGTACATGTTTATTTCAATAGCAAACCGTACACCTTAATTGTTCTGATGTCACTGGAATCTTATATCTGAAAAACTTTTCCCCAACATATATAGGCAGACAACTCATTCTACCATGAAGCTGGCAGCCCAACCATTTGCATCAGCTTCTTCAGGTGTGCCTGAAGAAACAGTCATACTCCCACCACCAGCTTTGCTGTATGGGCTAAACTGCTGGCAAGTTATCCTAGGCATAACAGGTCTTACAACCAGGAAACAAGATTTAACACATACCTAAGCCATTTTGCCCCCCCACAGCAAATATTCTGTCTTTCACAAATACCAGTCCATGATTCTTTCGAGCTTCAAGCATCGGACAGAGCTCTGTCCACCTGAAATGATTAAAACACAAGTAGTTCACTCAGTTGGTTAGCACAGGTTTATTTTTAGAGTAATTAAGTGTGTAGAGGAAAGTGCTTACTTATTCCTCCCCTTTCTTTTTTAAAAGGAAAGGTTAAGATGACTAACACACGCAAACAGTATATAGCAATCCTATGCAGAGTTACTCTAGTCTAGGCCCATTGATTTCAGTGGCCTTACTGGAATAACTCTGCACAGGATTGTACTGAAAGACCGGTGATGGCAGATAAATGCATGAGACATTACTGATGGAATAATAAAATCTGTACATACGTTTCTGTTGCTGGATCATAAACTTCACATGAATTCAAGACTCTTCCAGAAACATTGTTTCCTAGACTTCCTCCACATACATAAATCAGACCATTTGCCTCTACCATCCCATGACTGCACCGTTGAGTCAGCATGCTGGGCTTTGTATGCCAGCTTTCTGTTCTTGTATCATAGCATTCAAACAAATATAAAGCAGAATTTCCTTTAAACAGAAAGAGAAGTTATTTCATTTAGATACACTTTTAAAGATATATCTTAAACAGTAAACCACTACTGCACTGTGTGTCTTATCCTGCTACATTCAGCTGTCCGTAACTATTACGAGTATTTCACAAAGCAGTTATACACATCAACTAAGAATGTTTTATGCTGCAAAACGCCAAAGCATATTTCCTCGTATAACATGCAGCCACAATCACTCCTAAAGTCTTAATGTCTCAGTTATACATTATGGTGATAGTCGATTCCTGAACTTTAAATTATTATTAAATGTATCAGAGGGGTTGGCTCATTTTACCGTTTTAAAAATATAAATCCCTGCCTCCTCTTTCTATTTGGGATGTGTTGGAGGAGGGCGAGTGACATACAGTACAATCCTAAGAACACTTTCCTGTGAGTAAACCCCACTGCATATAACTGAAAAACTGCATATAACTGAATAACTGAGTTGACCAGCTTCAGATTGATCTCACAGGCACCCATGCCGCCTCCCAGATACTGCTCTCTACAGCAGCCTCCTTTCATGTCTACAGGATAATGCTTGATGAAAGCTGAAGTCATGCATCATGTAGCTGCTTTACAGAAGACTTCTATGGCAATACCTCCTAAAAAGAGAACTGGCTCTGGCTATAATGAAATAAACATGTAGTTGGCCAGAATCATCCTGTTTTTGGAGAACAGATTATGGAGAACAGATTATGGAGAAGCCTCACATAAAAGTGGAGATTGTGACCACCTTAGATTTCAATAACCAGCATTATACTGTTGGCAGTAGTAAGAAAGACTTCTTAATGACTGCTTACAACAAAGCCAAATCTGCTTAGAAAACATTTTTGACCTTTGAAACTTTTGAGAAGATACTGTTATCTTTAGGGACCTTTCAGTAAGTTTTGCAGATCTTCTCCAAGGAAGCCTCTACATGGGGTTAAAATCATTTGGTTTCTTCTAATAAAAGATCATCCACCATAGACTTAGCCAGAGGGACAGAGAAACATTCTACATGAAAATACAGATATTACATCTTTCATTTTAAAATATTTTTAAACATTGATCTGGATGTCTTGAGTAGGAATACACAATGAGGCACACTTGCTTTCAAAGTTGGCTGCCTTCACTTCTCACAACTGGATGCCAATTGTAACATATTTATTTTGAAGATAGTAACATATTTATTTTCAACCCCACAGAATTCAAAGGGACTAACTCCTAAGTAGGCATAAGACTGCAGCCTTAAAGGCTGGAAGTACTTCTGCTTAAGAAAGACTGGGATTGTCTGCATACTGGCCACTCTGTTGGACAATGAAATCCATTCCATGATTGAACTGGTAGAGCCGATGCCCAGATCACCTGGACTTTGTTCTGAATCCCTTTTATCTTTAAAGCAGACACCAACTCTTTATGCAGGGATGTCAAATATATGGTCTGCAGGCTGGAATCGGCCCCTGTGGGGCTCCTATCTGGCCCACAAGCAACTGGCTCTCTCCTGCTTCCTTCCCCTGGGCTGCTGCCACTGCATCTTTCTCCCTTCTCCCTTCACACCAAGGGGAGAGATACAAAGCCAAGCCTCCCTTCACTCCACTGGCTGAGGTCTCCTCCCCCCTCTGAGAGAGAGCACCCACCCGGAGAGAGAACAAACTTGGGAGTCCTGTGGCACCTTTAAGACCAACAAAGTTTTAATCCAGGTATAAACTTCTGTGTGCATGCCCACTTCTTCAGAGAGAGGGAGGGAGGGGGATTTAAAGTTTTCTTTAAAGGGGAACCTTAAATGTTAAGAAATACATGTCTACATACTATATCTTTATTCTTTCTTCTTCTTTGAACCTATACTGACACTTGCAAAATGATTGACTAAGAATATAATCTGTAGTTATAAATATTGACTATTTTTATTGTTCCAATTGATTAGTGAAAGTTAAAAGTAATGGCTGGTCTATTTGAAACAGGTTTGGGATATCTGTAATGTTCTAACTGAAGATTTTTAGAGTGGGCTTTGTAGGGGAAAAAATAGTAATGGGCTGATAACCTAGAGAAGATGTAATGATTTACTATTGTGAGAGAAAAGATGGAGTTACATAGAGTAAGGTGAAAATATATTGGGACTGTAAAGCTAAGAGAAATATAAAATACTATGTTTAAGTTTGCAACTATATGGGATTTTGAAAGCTAAAAAGGTGAAGGAATATCTTAAAGGGACCAAACTATTGTTATACAAGAAATATGTGACCAAATTAGAACTGTTAAACTGCTGAAACACCTGTTTCTTTCCCTTTCTATTTTTATGATTATAAAACTGATTAATAATAGGCTGGCATAGATAAAATGAAATATAGCAGATAGGATATAGAAAAATGAACTATATATTGGGAATAGAATTTTGATTAATGATATTTGTTGTGGAAGTTAAACAAGGAGGAAAAAGGAACTATGTATCTAAAGATGTTGTGAGCGAGACAATGTTTAGACATTTTAAAAAGGTATTGCTCTTTCTGTTTTGTTTGGTGTAATTCTCAAAAACTAATAAACTTGTCCCATTTGGGCAAGTATTAAAAAAAAAAAAGATTTTGGATTCCAAAACCATGGGCTAATAACCGGTTTAATAAATTTGGCTGTATGCTTTCTGCATTTGAGACTGTGCTGGCTGAGATGTGTAAATTCAAGCTAAGATTAGTGTTGACACTAATCATGGTTTGAGGACGGACTTCTATGTTTATACCGCTGATAAAAGTTGGTCTGCCCCCAGCAATCGAATGAATCTGACTGCATTATAGAATTATCAGTTGTGTGTGTGTGTGTGTGGGGGGGCACAGTTAAAACACTGACCTAGACAGCAGTTTTATTGACAGGTTAGTGGCATGTCCAGTAAGTTAAATCCAAAGTATTTAATACTATAATATCTGCCACAGCACTTATGCAATCCTACATAAGTCAGCATGGTTTTACCTCTAGTCTATTAAATCAAGCAACACAGCAGTTCTATAAAGAGGCCAGAACATAGATTTGATTCTCTACACATAATCACAAACGTATCCAAATTATATCCGTGTGCATCTTTTGCAACGGGTCCTTAAAATCCACACTGATAACAAATCAGAAGACTTCCAATCCATTTAGTGCCATTTATTTAAATAAAATAATATTCAATACCAAGTAACATTAGAAGTTGCATGGGGCTGCCAACTGGAAGGCTGCGCTACCAGAGCCATGAGAGTGCCTTACCTACTTCTGAACCACCAGATGTATAAATTTTACCCTCTGCTGCACATGCTGCAAGGCTATCACGAGGTGTTGGAGGCCCCAGTTTGGAATACCAGCTATCTTTCACAACGTTGTAGCAGTCCATTCGTTTTATAGGAAAAAGCTGGGAACCACCCAAAATATAAACGACATTGTCCCAAAAGACACAAGCTGCATCCCTCCGCTTTTCAAAGGGACACCGGATGTCTGTCCAGCTGTAATCCTGTATGAGGGAGGGAAAAGGAACTTTAGGCACAGACTTTGAAACTCTTTACAAAGATTCTGACAGTCCATTTACACATTCCTATTAAAAACTTGGGAGTGGCTTGATACAGTTAATGAAAGCCCACTAGACAGTGTAAGCTCCCTTTTGATAACTATGGGCTGGTTTTGAACAGACTGGATATTTCGAGACAAAGTGAACTAACTGCAGCAAGGGTCTCTGGGTGGATCTGCTGCAAAGTGGGCTACCTTGGAATAAAACAAAACATACCACAGATATTGTCAAATCTACTTTGTTTAAGACTGGCCTAGGTAGTGGTCTACTGTTCTGGCTGGGGCAAGATCCATCTTGCAATTACCTATTTTGCATTCATTTCTTGGGTTAACTACCTTTTTGCGGTGCTCCCAAGGTAATTTGGCAGCTATTAAGAATACAAACAGTGATGCTGGTTATCGTCATAGGTGTGAGTTGCAATCATTAAATAAAAATATGATTTAGTAAGGTAATGTCTTCTTTAACAATGGAGTACTTAAACTGAAAGATTACACCTTTGGCTTGTGTGCTGGTTTTCTGCTTGAAGGGCAAGAGACTTTAATAGGTTAGACTTTGTGCTGAAATTTTAGATCAGCTTCCCCCAAACCCAAGCCCTAAGTTGAACCTGGTTCTAGTTACGGATGTTATCATGCTGGTGAATGTCTTATATAATGAAAAAATTAAAAAATTATTTCATGGTGCTGTTAGCAGCTATTAGTTTTATTACTCTAGATTCAAGGCTAGCTTAAATTTTATGCATGTAGTAGCCAGGAGCAAGACGCTCTTGTCTCTGCTGCTGGTCGGACCACCAAAGATCACTGATCTTTCTCCTCTACCTCTTTCATTCCCTTGTGCATCATGTCTTTGAGTCTGTAGGCTCAAGGGCAGGGCTGGTGGTCTTTGAGTTTGTAAGTTCAAGGGCAGGGCTTTTTCTTAGGTGTATAGTGTTTCGCACCAGGTTTACGCTTTGAATTTTAATTGATGCAAGCCACTTTGGGAATGCAAGTTTTGTCTAAGAAGTGAGATAAAAATAAAATATATAAACAATTAATGGGGATAGGTGACACGAGCCCAGTTGAGAGACTCAATTTCCCTCCATTTTACCACAAACATGATCTATCCTTTCAGAAATTAAATTGATTTTTTAAAAATGGGAACAGAAAAATGGTCAAAAAAGAATGCATTGTAGACTGAAAAGAGGAGGAGGAATAATAGAAAGGAAGAAGATAGCAGCCCTTAACAACTATAATTAGGTAAAGAAGAACTGGCAAAAGCTTGTTGTCATGACAACCAAGAGCTCATCCTCTATGCCACAAATTATATATAATCTACCTACCATGGTTAGGACTAATAAACTACAAACGGTGCTGCCAAAAATACCTGCAGCAATATTAGCAGAGGAAGAAAAATGTTATTTCACATACCTACCCAGCTGGATTCCCAGCAGATGGCAGAACTGTCTAAGCAAGCCTAGCAAGCGCATGAGACATGAACACAATCCATCAAGCAACAGCATTGCACTCACTGACAACCAGGTAGTTACAAATGGTAAGCAAAAGCAATATCAGCTTAGAGCAAAGGAAAAGTACAGAATAAAAACAGATTTGAACACATGTCTCAGTACAGTTATGTTGATTTTTCTGTGAATCACTTGCTGGATCAGAAACTGGGATATGTGCATTGAAACATGCATTTGGATGCTGTCTCTCTCTCTCTCTCTGCACAAGGCTTTCAATGGGATGGCATCTGAGCATGCAGTCAAGTGTACATCTCTACAATATCGGGGTTCAGTCACCAGATGTAAATCCATTTTAAGCAACAGTTTGAAAAATAGTATGGGGAATTCGCTGCTGTTCTCAAAAAAAAAAAAAAAGTCCCACTGGGCACAACAAAGCACTTGGTGCAGTTAAAGTACTTTCTGTATTCTGGCAGACAGCGACTCTAATAAAGCATTTTTGCTCTTCACAATAACACACAACTCCCCCCTTCCCCAACTTCCCAACCTAACTAATTATGGGGGAAAGTTCTTGGGGGAAAACTTATGAAAAGAGAGATACATAAAACAAAACTAAATGTCAAGAACAATTCCATGGAAGCCAACATTAGCTTTCAGACTAAGTATACAGAAGAACAAACATTATACATGTATCAGAAAGTACCTAGTTACTAAGTACGTAGTTACTAAGATTTTCTCCTTACACGTTTCCTCAAATATGAACATCTTTCTGTAAATTTAGTAATGTTAGATGATCACATGCAGAGATCCTGGGAACCTGAAGGTTGTGTTCTCGTGTGTATGGGTCTCTACCAAATGTAAAACTCCCAACCCCTTGCACAGGAGGACTGGACTCTGACCTCTTCACATCAAGGAGATAGTGCCTTGGGCCAAGGATCTGTTCAGCAATCAGGGAGCCAGTCCATCACCAAAAGGAGTATTGGAGGGGGCACGCTTGGGCTCAATGGATGTGCTTCTTCGAAGCTTGACTTCTCCCATCTCCCTTCCATGGTGAATTTTCATACAGTCCCAATCTGTTCCTTTAATACTGATTACCTCTGGATTTTAATTTATCATGATTATAAGACCAGACATCTGTTCCTAGCAGTGAGGAAAACCCATATGTACATGTAAGCAGAACTGAAGTTGCTATAGAAACCTCAAAATAACACCACATTCCAGAAAGCTTCCTAATGTAATCTTGACATTCCTTATTAGCATTGTTGCTTACAATGTACTACCCCCTTTCATTTAACAAAAATATCTCCATTTGTTTAGCTGTTTTACTTATTTGGATTTACAGCCAGTATTGTCCCAAGGGTGCAAGGTAAGTTCAGAAATTCCTGTAAAGTTAAAAGGATCAAGGAGCAAAGGAATCATGACACATGCAACAATGTCCCAAACTATAGTAGGAGGAGGTGGTGAATTAAAAAAGCCAAGTACAATGAACTCAAATTCTGAAATATAAGAATTACCTTTGGATTAAAATAGCGACATGACTGTGGCTGTGATCCTCCAAACAAGGCAATGCGGTAATCATGCTTTTTTCTTCGTGGGCGAGTGCCATCCACTAGTTCTTCTCTGTCCTCTGGAGAAAGCAGATGGTATCTCATTCCACCTAAATCGAACAGAACACACTGGCTGATTTTATCTCACTGTTTCATACAGAGGGTTCACATTAGTTCCAGGAGATAAGCAAAAAGGTCTAGGCCTATTTTCCACCTAGTTTAAAATTTTCTCTATATACAACCTCTGTCAAATCCAGAAAAACTGACAGAAAACAATGTTTCGTTAATTTGCAGAACTAGGTTTCTCTTATGAAGAATTTACAGTGCAATCTTAAACAGACTTCAATGGACTCAGAAGGGTTTAATTCTGCTTAGGACTGCACTGTTATATCGTTAGGTATACAAGTCAAACAAAGAATTATCTGTAGAGTTAGTCAGTCAGTTAGTTTATTCAGTATAAAACCAGCACAAATCAATTACAATTACCTCAATAATGTCAATACAAAGACGGACTTCCGGTCTATGGATTGGCGATGGCAGTCGCTCTCCCCAGAGCTTGGGGAGGCGATTAGCACACCATCCGCATGGAGGGGTGCCACCTCAAGTGGCACTCCCACGGAGTCTTTGTGAAAGGCTCCAGGCCAAAGAGCTTTGAGGGTTAGCCTCTTCAATGGCTTGCTGCTGGAGAATCGAGGCTTTCCTCCACTCTGACGGTCCTGCAGATGAGTGGCCTTAGGGCACAAGCTAACCCGACCGGGACAAGCGGGGGAGACCGAGCGGAACAACGATTTCTGTGAGCGAGGTCAGGAATGTGACCAACAATGAACGTGAGTTCTAAGTAAACGAACTTTGATAAACGGCACCCCCCCTCCCCGTGGGAAAAGCGGAATGCAAAGAGGGACGCCTCTGAAGCACAAGGACAGATAAACGCAGTGAAGGGGGAGTGGGAGGAAATAGACAGTGTGTGTATTTTGAAAGACTTACTTGAGTGCAAATAGCAAATTGACGAGTCCTTCGAGCCTGGGAGAAGCGGTTTGAAAGTGTAAACAAAGTTGAAAAATGGCGGCATCACGAGGAAAGTTTAAAGCGAAGCCTCAGAGTCCGAGGCCGGAAGAGGGAGCTGACGTCATGAAGCTATTAGCGGATATGCTCAAGCCAGTGATGGATCAGCTCGATGGTATTAACCAGCAACTGACCTAAATCAAAACTTCGCTTCACAGAAACGACAGCTGGCAGAAACAGAAAAAAAAGTGGAGCTGGTAGCTGAGAAAGTTACAGAGATGGACACCTCAAGCAAGAAGATGAAGAAAAGAGTGGGTGAAGTGGAAACGAAACAAAATCTTCAAGAAAATCGTTTGTTGCAGCTGCAAATGGAAAAGGCTAATATGATTCTCAGGTTCCAGGGGGTTCCTGAGATAGAAAAAGAAGATTTGAAAAAGACTCTGGGTGAAATTATTGCTCCAGTGACAGCCTTGCCAGCAGAGGAAATAATAAAAGACATGGAGACAGCTTATAAGGCTTACCCCAATTATATTAAAAAAATAGCCTGCCTGGAGAGATTGTGGTGAGATTTGCAAGAAGACAGACCAGAGATGCTATACTAAAGGCAACTTCAGCAACTCCACTGAAATTTGGGAATACAATTATCAAGACTTTAAAAGACATTCCATTTGAAATCCGTCAGAAGAGAAAGAGCTACAAGGAGTTAATTACTTTTCTTCAAACAAATTATATACAGTACAGGTGGGCGATTTTTGAAGGTGTCATCTTTAAAATCAACGATAGAAGGGAGAAGATAGACTCCATCTGCAAAGTCAAAAAATTCTTGAGATGTCAGCTAGGATCGGGGGAAGACTCTAAAGAGGAAGAAACTAAGTCAAGTGACTCAGCTGCCTCGGGAACGGATGAGGACTCTGCTGCAGAAGTGGGTGCAGGAGCAATGAAAACTGTATATGATTTTAGAGACAGAAAGCCGAAGTAAGGGCAGAAGGACTCTGATAAAAGGCCCTCTGAAACAAAGAAGATGCTCAGAAAGTTCTCTCATAATAACTAATTTACTAATACAGAACAATGTGGAAAACAAGAACTCTACAAGTATATTGTTTTACTAACTCTTTTAATACTAATATTAAGTTTAACATAAAGGGGGTCTCCCACTCTTGGGTTTTTAGTTAGTGTGGGTATTTTTTCTTTATCCACAGTTGTAGTTCCCCTTCCTATATTTTTCTTTGTAGTTTGTACCCCTCCGGGTTTTTTTTAAAAAAAGAGTCAATACAAAGAAAGGTACTAATAAAATATATAAAATATCAAATGTTGAAATATAAACTGTATTTAGTAGTATCTGTAGAGTTACATAAACTGGTTGTAATGGAATAAGGCTCTCAGATTATCAAAATACTAAATCCATGTCAAACAAATACTTAGACATCCAATAAGACTTATTAAGAGCTAAATACATTCAACAATCCACAGCAGATGGGACCTAAGATGGTTTGATTTGAGATTAGTTCAATAAGGTAACACCTTTAACAATTCAATCTGAGTTTCTTCATAAAGTGTATTTAATATTTCATCACTTAACATTTTATGGGAATCCATTCATATGAGGGAACTAATACAGTTCCCTCCACATATAAACATTCTCCTTACCATAAAGAGGAAAACCACCTAAAGTTTTTACCCAGTATGTTTTAATTTCCTTACACTTTAGCTGTAGCCTCAGTTTGCATTAAAGTCACAGATGGTAGTGCGTAGGTTTACTATTCTTAAATAGCTGAGAGAAATGTCATTACGGAGGCTACTGTGACATGGAGATTTTTACTAATTCTGTTCTAAACATGAGAAATTAAATATCTGAGCTACTTTTAAAGATGCACTAATTCTTCCAGTTATATATAATTCCAGGGGAGGGAGTTATGTAACAAATTAATAATGGTATCCTCTGGGTAAACTCCCTCTGCTATCATATTATGTGCATATGTCCATGAAGACAGTTGTCATGAACACCATATATGTGATCCGCACCTGCAGCTTCCCTGCCCACTACTCCCTTCCAGTGACCCCTTATATGAAAGTAAAAAATTAGGAATACCACCCTTCCCCTGCATGTCACAGAGGAGAAGGGGCACAGGGACAGCAGGGAAATTATTCTCTTTTTGTGGGGTTCCCAGTGTCAAGGAAGCGATCCAGCTTCCACTATACTCATTATAACTCTTCTTGCTCCTCTGCAATAGATGGGGAAAATCTTTCAGATCCACAGCATTTTTTTCCATCTTGACCCAGCCAGAGGACACAGATGAGCCAGCACACAGCCACACAAAACTGAACTAGGAGAACTTGCATCTGGGTCCTATGCAGGTCAAGAGCAGCATGTATAAGCCAGCTGTGACAACTTCTTGTATACAACAGGCTGCCTTCTGCCTTCCTATCAGATTCAGAAAAACTGCTGAGCACAATAGCCATAAAGGAAGGGGGAAGATAGTGAGCCATGAGTAGAAGTCACTTGCTGCAGAAACCTATAGATTTTTGTGTGGAAGTAAGTCTCTCTACCTTTAGTGGAGCCAATGCCCAAGAAATGTTTTAACTCTAGGGCTAAGCTACACATGATGAAGGCGTTCTGTGATTGGAAATCTAGAGATAGGTTTTGGTCCTAAAAACAGTCACAGTGGGGCCAGATACTGATCAGGACAACAGTGCTAGACTGATCCATACCAGGGTCTTCCATCACTGCTTTTCAGAATGAAGCAACATGTTCAGAGTTCCAGCCATGAAACTACAACATTACATCTAGTGTGGACCTTAGGTGGCATTCCAATGCAAACTTACTTGAGCATATCCCACTGAACATAGGAGGACTCATTGTCAAGGAAACACACATAGCATTGGGCCATTAGTTGCCTTGCAGCTGGGGAGGAACAACAAGCAATTCCTCCACACTGTAGCTCCGTATTTTGTCAGCAGTCCTACACGGCTCCATAATAGAAGCTGGAGGGGGAGGGTTGCATATTGAAGGGGCTGTGTTCTACACATCAATTGTGATTTACCAGACAAAATTTCTAAATTCAGGACCACCCATCAGCTTCATTTCAGCTTAACTTCCCAGCAAAAAACATAGAATTAACATTTGATTTTCATCTATATTTACATGATAAAATACTTCGCAGTAGATAATAAGGGAAATTATGCAGAATGTTGAAAGCACACCTTAGAAAATAAACTTACTGATAACCATTTTAAGGCACTCAGGATTGTCCTGGATAAGTGGTTCAGCCTGTACAGTTTTACTGAGGAAATTCTTTGAAATTAAAGGAAACCTGACTTTAGCAAGAATGTCAACCATGTATGGCTGGCGGTTTGGCTCATCGTATTTCAGCCATCTGACTGCAGCATCATAAACCTGGGTAGAGCAGCAAAAAACACATCTGATTATACACACACACAGGAGTATAAAGCAATTTTTTTTAATATTTGTTTTTATTAATTTTTAACAGCATAAATACAACAGAATTAGACACAAAGAGCAATTACCGGCTCAATTAAACAGCTTTTCTTACATAACTCCCACAGTATCACAGTAAAGTCAAACATTAGAATAGACTAACTACCAAACAGTTAAAAGAACAACAGCTTCTTGTATAGCGGGTTTTTTGGAACTGTTTCACTATTTTCTAAATGACTAATAATAGGAAACCATACTGCCTGAAACCACTTTTGGTATTTTTTCGATTTCACGGCTGAAGAGTTGTAAGAGGTGCGCCCATAAATAAAGCATTCCCAGATTTTGTTCTGCCAGCATGTTATTGTCGGAACATTTTTTTGCTTCCATTTTTGTGCAATTGTTAATTTTGCCAATGTGAGTAAGGTTGATACTAATGTTTCCAAACTTTTTCTACTCACAGTTGTACGCCATGTCTCCAGAAAAATAGATTCTAAAGTGCAGGGTAAGACAATATCAACTACTGATGCAATTTGTTGTATTATCTGCGTCCAGTAGTCTTTTATTAGTGGACAGGACCACCAGCAGTGCACAAAGTCCGCAATAGCACCACAATTTTTCCAACATTTGTTTGAAATATTAGGATTAATCTTATGTAGAACTGCCGGGGTCATGTACCACCTATTTAGTATTTTGAAAGAAGTAGACCTGATGCTAAAGATATTAGAAGTGTTACTGGGTGATGACCAGATGGAAGTCCATTGATCTTCCGTGAAGGACTTCTGGCAGTCTAGATGCCATTGCTGTTGAGACTTGAGAGTAGTTGTTTTTTTCACCCTTTAACAGGAGTCTGTACAGCTTGCCTATCATTCCCTTAATTTCTCCATTTGAGTTTAAGTATCTGCTCAAAGTCGTTTAGCGGTCTAGAGAACATCCCTCCTTTCTGAAGCTTATTCAAGAGATCTTGTATTTGCAGATATTGGAACCAGAAGACTTTCCCTTGTAATTTGTTTTAGTCAGAGTTTAGTCAGAGGGATTCCTTTCTTTGTCAGATCAGCTAGTCTTATTACACCTGCGTCTCTCCATGCCCGAAAAGAGTTTTCTTCTTGACCTGGTGTGAACCACGTTTGATTGAGAAAGGTGGAAAGTTGGGATATTTTCGGCAAAAGACTTAGTTTATAAGTTCTCCAGATCTCCAAGGCCGATTTTAGGAATATGTTGTGTACATCTGCGACGTGCCTTTTATTATAGTCTCTCCAGTACAATTCTGACAGTATAAAGCAATTAAACCTGAAAGCAAAGTGTAAATAAATGAGCATTTCCAAATTATGTGCGATATATCTTACGTTTGTCACCACCTGCCAGTCAAGACAGATCATTCCATTTATATCCTGCTGTCTTACAAGCTCAAAATGGCTTACAGCAATTTTTGAAAATACAATATTCTTGTTCCACAAGTGGCTCACAATCTAGGAAATCACATGGTTTGGAGAACATGGTAAATAACAAACCAAGCCAGACCTAAACACCCCCACCATGCTCTACAGGCCCAAAGTCCATCAAAATGGCAGCATTTCCTGTAGGCAGTTCCTGGTAAACGGTTAATCATTTAAGAGGTGCTGTAGAATGGGCTGAGAGTGGAGCAGAGCTGTCCCAGGTGGCAGTGGTGATGTTCCAGAGCACAAAAAACCTTGCTTTAATTATTGTGTTAACAAAAAATTAAATGCTAGATAAATAAACAACCGGATCCTCTCACCTGATCTTCTGCTCTTACAGTCAGTGTGTCTTGGTTTAGAAGATGTGTCACACGTTTAACATCCAGCTGAAGAAATTCATCTGTCTTGTAAACTTCAGTGAAGTGCTGATGGATAAAGTCATCTGCAGTCGCTTTCAATTCTGGGCAGTCAAGACATTCTGCTAATACACTTATACCTAAAGAAAAATGGGATGACACATTGTATAAAGCATGTTTAAGTCTGTGCACATAAGTAAAACATTTCATATACAAAAATTATTAGCCATGTACAAATTGGCATAATGAAAGACCAAAATACTTCTTTCTTGCAAAATTCCATAATCAACCATTCAGAACTCACCGTTTCATAGACACACAACCCTGTCTTATACCAAGTCAGACCACCAATCTATCAAGGTCAGTACTGCCTGCTCTACCTGGCAGCAGCTCTCCAGGTTGTCAGGTAGAGGTCTTTCACATCACATGCAGAAGACCTCTACTCGATCCTTTTAAATTTACCTGGCTGTTTTAAATGGAGATACTGAGGAATGAATAGAACTCTTGAGATACAACAGCCATCACAGCAGAGATAACTTCATCTTCCAAATATGCTAGCAAACACTTAGCCCTAGAAATTTACACATTAAATGGCAGTCAGGATCTGCAGGGGAGAAAAATACAGTTTATCCCTGTTTATCTTAAGGACAAGCAAGATACCACTGCATATGTCTGCTTGAAATTAAAATGTTCCCAAATCTTCAAGAATTTGGCATTAAATCTCTAATTAGGAAGAATCTGCAATCTAACAACAGGCAAAAACATTAATTTCAAGCCGTGGTTTCCTTGGAAAATGTAAATTGCTTCTTCAAATAATGTATTTATAATAAAATTAAGGCACCTTACCAAGACAATTTGAAGCATCAACTTGCTCTTTTAAAAAATCCACACACATTTTTTTCACAGGTTCAATCTGATACTGATTTGCTGCATCTAGCAATGACTGGACATTGTTGCTGTTTACAGAAATTCTGAAAAATGTAACATTATCACAACTGAAGACTTTCAATAACAGCTGGAAACAAACATGCACATACTTCTACCAAATTATATCTACTGCATTCCGACTAGATATATATTATGTTTACTATACAGGCACATAAGACCAACCACCTGATAACAGAGAGCCACAAAAAGAGGGGCATCCAACTACCTCATCACATTACTGGTTCAGTTAAACCAGTGATTCCCAAGTGCACTGTGCCACCCCCTGGGGGGAGGTGAGAGGCAAAGGGGCGGTGCGGGGGTGGACACTGGAGGTGGGTCTCTTCAACAGCACTGTTTACTTATTATGACTAGGTTGGAGACTGGATGCTGGCAAATGGCAGACCAAGTTTCTGCCTCTGCGTAATGCTGAAATCTGGCAGAAACTATCAGAACTTTTAGTAAATATGCCACTAGAGCTCTAGTCAGACGAGTGTACCGTGCTTTCAGAAGTTGTTGCCACATGTGATTTTGTCTGTCATTTTTCAAATGGCACAGGGGATTTATCCTCTGGTTAAACATCTGAGCTGAACAGGACTACTGTCAGTTCGAGCCCCGCACTGGTGTGAGCTACCCGCTGTGTCCCCAGCTTGCCGTCCCCCCAGCGGTTCGAAAGCTTCGGCGAGTAGATAAAATGGGCACCACTCCTTAGAGAGGGAGGGCACACTTAACCCCCCC